ATTATGATATATATTGAATAAATTAGACAAATTCATAACAAACTGAAATTCATTGGGACTCTTACTATCATGGCAACTAAGTGTTTATACTCTATTGCTGAACTCCCAGACTGGAAGTTTGAAGAAGTGAAGTGCAGGCTAATAATCAATGGGTGGACTGAATTTCTAGTAGTAAGCTTAAGAAATGCTAATGTGGTGGTCTCATGTCAACAGTGTAGGGAAAATGATACTGTAGATTTTTAAAATTATATCATACAAAATATTACTTTTTTATTTATTTTATTTTTTTTAATTTTATTTTTTTCTTATCAGTTACATTTTATTAACTCTGTATCCCAGCCATGTCCCGATCTCTCATTCCCTCCCAGTCCCTCCCTCCCTCCCTCATCTCCACTGTGCCCCTTTCCAAGTCCACTGATAGGGGGGACCTCCTCCCCATTTATCTGATCCTGTTTTATCAGGTATCTTCAGGACTGGCTGCAAAGCTCTCCTCTGTGGCCTAACAGGACTGCTCCTTCCTTGGGGGGTGGGGAGGCCAAAGAGCCAGTCATTGAGTTCCTGTTAGAAATAGTCCTTGTTCCCTTCACTATGGGAAACTAATTGGTTACTGAGCTACCACAGGCTACTGTCATCAAAACAAAACGACTGCCTACAGATTGGGAAACCAATCTGTAACCAATCACTAACCCTTTATCTGACAGAGGACTAATATCGAGTATATACAAAGAACTAAAGAAGCTGAAAAGCAGCAAACCAAGTAATCCAATTAAAAAAAGGGGGAACAGTGTCTTTTTGCTTCTGGGACAACTCACCCTGAGTGAGTTGTCCCAGAAGCAAAAAGACACTCACGGTATACACTCACTCATATAAACATACAATATAGAATAAACCCACTAAAATCTGTACATCTAAACAAACTAAGCAATAGAGAGGACCCTAACTAAAATGTTCACTCCCCATCCTGAAAGGCAAAGAGGATGGTCATCAGAAGAAAACGAAAATAGGAAACAACCTCGGAACCCACTACAGAGGGCCTCTGAAAGCCAGAAGAAAACAGGAAACAACCTTGAAACCTGCCACAGTGGGCCTCTGAAAGCTTCTGCAGTATAGACTGTCAAAGCAGATGCTGAGCCTGATGGCCAACTGATGGGCAGAGTGAATGGAATTTTATGTAAGAAGTGGGAAATAGTAAGAGCTGGAGGGGACGGGAACTCCACAAGCAGAGCAACAGAACAAGATAATTTGAACACAGGGAACTTCCCAGAGACTCATACTCCAACCAAGGACTATTTGTGGAGATGACCTGGAACCCCTGCACAGGTGTAGCCCATGGCAGTTCAGTGTCCAAGTGGGTTACATAGTAATGGGAAGAGGGACTGCCTCTGTCATAATCTGATTGGTCTGCTTGTTGATCACTTCCCCCTGAGGGGGGAGCAGCCTTACCAGGCCACAGTGGAGGACAATGCAGCCACTTTTGATGAGAACTGATAGACTAAGATCAGAAAGACGAGGAGAACCTCCCCTATCAGTGGACTTGGGGAGTGGCATGTATGCAGAAAGGGGAGGGAGGGTGGGATCGGCAGGGGAGGAGGGAGGGGCTTATGGGGGGATACAAAATGAATAAAGTGTAATTAATAAAAAGAAAAAAGGGAACAGAGCTAAACAGAGAATTCTTGACAGAGGAATATCGAATGGCAGAGAAACACTTAAAGAAATGCTCATCCTCATTAGACATCAGGAAAATGCAAATCAAAACGACCCTGAGATATCACCTTACACCCATCAGAATGGCCAAGATGAAAAACTCAAGGGACAACACATGCTGGAGAGGTTGTGGAGAAAGGGGAACCCTCCTCCACTGCTGGTGGGAATGTAAACTGGTACAACCACTCTGGAAATCTATCTGGAGCTTTCTAAGACAATTAGGAATAATGCTTCCTCAAGACCCAGCTATACCACTGTAGGTATATACCCAAAGTTTGCTCAAGTACACAAAAGGGATATTTGCTCAACCATGTTTATAGCAGCTTTATTTGTAATAGACAAAATATTTCATTTGCTATCTGGTGATTATACACACATACACACTTTGGGATTTGTATCCTGTCTTGAGATCAGGGAATTTTTACAGATTTGTTCCTAGAATCCTGAATGTCGGGTCCTGGAATTCACTCGTCTTGCTCCATAGAGCTGCCCAGTATACAGTGTGACTGCTTGCCTAACAGTGAGCTCCGTTCACCCAGGACTGTCCCCATTTGTTTGAAGCTGATTTGCAAATCCCATTTTTTGTATGGCGGAGAATGAGTAATTAGAAATTTCTCTCCTTATATTATACAAACTTTACAGTCCTCAACTTTCCACCTGTATCTGGATTGCCATTTTCCCAGTGCAAACTGCAGACCAGGAATCTACACAAAGACACTCATTGTACCCGACAGGACAGATGGAGATCATTGCTACTGCATGAAACTACAGGAATTTAGTCATTTCTCATTCTTCCATGTAGAGAACTCAATATACACTTCTCTTTTCTGTGCTAAATGCCAAATTCAAACCTTCTTTTCAACTCTTAACATAATGGATTATCTCTTAGTCTATTATAAAAAGTAAAATGTGGATGTCCTCTAAACGTTGTTGTATTGGAAAATGCTAAACTCTTAGAGATCAGAGAAGGGTTCCTGTAAGTCATGCCAATTCTGCGGAGGAGAATAGTTTGAAACTGGTGGACCCTCTGGAAGGATTCCTTAATAATAAATGTAACAAATGCACTTTTTCTGATAATTTTGTCTGTACTATTTTTCAATAAGTGCAGAAAAATCAATATGATGACACATATTTTACAAAGAAATTTTAAATCATTGAACAAAAGTAATGGATGTTCATTGATATGTGGATCAATAAAAACAACTGTAGTATTGATTGTCATTTAAGTTTCAAATATTGATAAATATGATTCATTATTAACAAGTTTAGTATGTTATATTGTATAAAATAATGCATCTGTTTTAAATATTAATAGAAAAAAGATTTTAATAATTTTGAAGCCATTTCAATATTTTTAAAATTGTCAAACTATATATTTTACTCCAGTGTTTTTATCAGTTCTTAATGCTTCATTTTATTACTCTGAATTGTCTCTTTTTCTTATTATAAGACAAATTAATGGAACAGACTTTGAGGATAATAATATAATTAAAATACACATTTAAGGATATTCAATCATTTTAAATTTAGTTCCTAAATTTAGGATTGTTTTAAGATTACTTCAGGCTACTTTCTGTATAGAATGTCATTTTAAAATTTTATTTATTTATTTATATTACAATTTATTCAATTTGTATCGCAGCCATAGCCCCCTCCCTCATCCCCTCAAAATACCATCCTCCCTTCCTCTTCTCCTTCCATGCCCCTCCCCCATTCCACTGATAGGGAGGTCTTCCTCCCCTTCCATCTGACCCTAGCTTATCAGGTCTCATCAGGACTGGCTGCATTGTCTTCCTCTGTGGCCTGTTAAGGTTGCTCCCCCATCAGGGGTAGGTGATCAAAGATCCAGCCACTGAGTTCATGTCAGAGACAGTCCCTGTTCCCCTCACTAGGGTACCTACTTGGACACTGAGCTGCCATGGGCTACGTCTGTGCAGGGGTCCTTGGTTGGAGTTTCAGTCTCAGAAAAGACCCCTGGACTCAGATTTCTTGGTTCTGTTGCTTTCCTTGTGGAACTCCTGTCCCCTCCAGATCTTTCTATCTCCTCTTCTTCCACAAGATTTCCTGAACTCTGCCCAAAGTTTGATTATGAGCCTCAGCATTTACTTTGAAAACCTGCTGGGTAGAGTCAGAGGCCCTCTGTGGTAGGCTCTTGTCCTGGTTCCTGTTTTCTCCCTCTTCCAATGTCTATCCTGTTTGCCTTTCTAAATGAGTATTGTTCATCTTACTTGAGATCCTCCTTTTTGTTTAGATCCTTTAGATGAACAATGGGACTGTATTTTGGTTAGATGCAAACTGACTTAACATTTTCTTTCTAGTTTCATTGAGTTATTTACCTGTTTTTATTAATGCCTTCCATTGAAAGAACTAAACTCTCTTACTCTGAGTCATCAACTGTGAATATTTGGGATTACTTTATATTTATCCTGGTTCTTTAGGTTATTTTCAAAGTATATGGTTGTTTTGTATTCTACTTTTATAATACCTACTCTTTTCTCCAAAAATACAAAAATAAATGTGGGGTAGGGCATTTTTATTTTTTTAATTTCCCAAGAATCAGTGATATCAAAAGTGAGAATTGCTGACTGTGATAATGAGTCATTCTGTTTTATGCCTGGTGATGAGAAGATCAAGACTCAAGCCCATCACATTTGCAGGAGAGAGCTGTTACAATCTAAATTAACCCTCACGTGCTATAACCATGCTTCATTTTCCAGGTTGGGTAGAGGATGAATAGATGTTACCACTGTATGAGTAGAAATTGATGACAATTAACAGTATTTTATTACAATCAGTTCTCTTCAGATTTGCCACTCTTCAGATTTCTTAATTCTGAAAGAGTTACATTAGGCATTTCTGCAATTCCTGGTTCTCTGGTAAGAAGTCTAATTTCAGAAGATTCCTTTTTATTGTCATCACTCCAAGCAGTAGATTTTTATAAGCAAACATTCGCTTTTTAATGAATATATTTAATAATTAATTTACATCCCTTTGAGAACTTCCCCTTCCTCCTCTCCTCCCAGTCCCTCCAGCACACTTCCAATCCTCTCCTCCTAAGTCCCCATTCCTTTCTTCTCAGAGAAGGGGAGGCCTCCCAGGGATATCCTGCCTTGACCTATAAAGAAGGACTGGCTACATCTTCTTCTATTGAGACTAGACAAGGCTGTCTACTTAAGGGAAAAGGATCCAGAGGCAGACAACAGAGTCACAGACATCTCCTGCTCCTCCTGTTAGAAGTCCCACTTGAGGACCAAACTGTACATTTGTTTTACATATATGGGGGTTTAGGTACATACCATGGATGATCACTGGTTGGTGGTTCAGTATCTGTTAGCTTCTATGGGCTCATGGTAGTTGATATTGTAGGTTTTCTCATGGTGTCCTTGATCTTTCTAGATCTTCCAATCCTTCCTCCCAATCCTGCCTAATGTTTAGCTGTTTCTTTCAGTTTCTTGGTGAAGATTCTCAGGTGACTGTTTTGCTGGCTTCTTGTCTGAAAGTATAGAAAAATATTGTTAATAGTGTCAGGGTGGGCCCTCTCTCATGGTCATTGGTTGGCTGGGTTGAAGGTTTTGTGTGTGGGTTGTTGTCCCCTCCCAACTGGTTGCAGGAGGTGGCTTCTTCAGGCCCCAAATCTCCCTCTGCTAGGAATCACAGCTAGGGTGACCACCATAGACTCCTGGGAACTTCTCCATCCAAGAGGTGGCCCTCCCCCACTGATTTCTGTTCTCTCTCCCAACCCCTCATACACGTGATTCCCATCTTTGTTCCCCTACCCACCCAGTTCTCTCCCTCCTACTTCAGATGTCTATTTTATTTTCCCTTCTGAGTGAAATTCAAACATACTCCCTTAGACCTTCATTGTTACTTAACTTCTTTGGGTCTGTGGATTGTAGCATGATTATTCCATACCATATGGCTAATATCTACCTATAAGTGAATACATAACATGTGTGCCTTTCTGGATCTGAGTTACCTAACTCAGGATGGTCTTTTCTTGGTTCATCCATTTGACTGCAAGTTGCATGATGTCTTTGTTTTTATTAGGTGAGTAGCATTCCTTTGTGTAAATGTACCACATTTTCTTTATCAATTCTTCTGTTGAGGGACACCTAGATTGTTTCTAGTTTCTGCCTATTATGTATAAAGCTTCTTCGAACATAGCTGAGCAAGTGTTGTACTTGTGGTAAAGTGGAGCATCTTTTAGGTATTTGCCTAGGAGTGGACTAGCTGGGTTTTGAGATCGATTTATTCTCAGTTTTATGAGAAACTTCCAGATTGATTTCCACAGTGGTTACACAGATTTTCTCTCCGATCCACAATGGACGAGTATTCTCCTTGTTACACATCTTTGCCAGCATGTGCTATCACTTGAGATTTTTATCTTAGGTATTCTGATGGGTGTAAGATGGAATCTCAGAGTTGTTTTGGCCTTTTGCATTTCTGCAAGTACAGGTTCTCAGTCAGATTTCAAAATAATCCTACTTACAGTCATCATTCTTAATAGTATATCTTTACAAACAAATATTTGCTTTTCTGATACAGCTGTGGAATATTTGCTCAGCATGAGTATGGCTTTGGAACTCTTCACCAACATCAAACACACACATATGTGTCCATGCACACACACACACACACACACACACACACACACACACGTGTTATATTTGTGTGCACACAAACATAAATGTGCCTGAGGATAAATGATGTACAATGTATACTTTTTATAATCTTTGCTCAACAACATTTATTAAAAAAAAATATTTTTTTCTACTGTGTGTTTTGACATCATTACAAAAATAGTCTGTAAATGTACAAATTTAATTGCTGACACTCTCTGTTTCATTGGTCTTTCTGTCTGTTTTATGCAAGTATTTTGCTGTTTTGAAGACTTAAAATAGATTTCTAAATCTGGCTTGAGATATTCTATTGAGATTTATAGCCCTGCCTCCACACAGTATTAGCAATTGGACTTGGAGAGGGGCATGGGAGGAGATGAGAGGATTGGGAGGGAATGAGGGAGTGGGCTACAGCTGGGATACAAAGTAAATAAACTGTAATTAATATAAAAATAAAAATTTAATTTAAAAAAGAAAAGAATTTTCTAGTCAACTTGAAATCGAGTTTATAAAAAAAGGATTTGGAATAACTATGTATTCAGATTTTTGTTCTTTGGTAGAAAGTGAATCACTTTTTTCTATTTCTATAAAATTACAAAAGGATTTTTATAGGCACTGCATTATACCTTGTTTTGTGTTGTACAGACATTTTTATGACTTATTGTTCCAATTCATGAGCAAAATATGTATTTCCTTTTTTATGGGTAATTTTCAATTTTTAACCAGGGCTTTATACTTTTCAGTTCAGCTAAATGTCATAGTTTTTACCCAGATGTTGAGAAACTGTTAGTATAATTAAATTTTTTTTAGCAAACTGCTTTAACTTTTAGGTCAAATATCTATACCAAAAACAGTAACCTTAAATTTTATTTCTAAATAAAATATAAATATTATAAATATTTATCTAAATAAATATCTAAATAAAATATAAAATATAAATATGTGTACATGTTACTCAACATACATTGCTCATGAGATATATAAGTAGAAGCAATGTAATCATTCACCAAAATGTTCATATTAACATGTTAAAAATGTACACTTATAATGAGATATACTGAACAGAACAATAACATTGAGGCTATTTAAATAACAAGGTAGACACTTGAAGTTATATAATAATTGTGAAATACATTAGATAGGTAATATAATTTTTTTAAATTTCAAAATATTTATCTCCCCCCCATTTCTCTACCTACCCTCTCTCTCACCCAGTACCCTTCCTCCATCTACTTCATATGTCCATTTTATTTCCTTTTGTGAGTAAAATTAAGCCTCCCCCTTGCGCTCTCCTTGTTACTTAGCTTCGTTGGGTGTGCAAATTTCAGAGTAGCTGTTCTGTGCTTTATGGCTAATAGCCACTTATAAATGAGAACATACCATTCATGTCTTTCTGAGTATGTGTTACTTCACTCAAGAAGATTATTTTTCTAGTTTGATTTATTTGCCTGCAACTTTCATGATTTCCTTTTTTATAACATCATAACATCATAAGTATTTTATTTATTTGATATTTTTGAATAAATTTTACTTACAATTTCAATATAAGGATGATAGATTCAGTTGATAGATTGTTTGTCTAGCATGTATAAAGTCCTAGGTTTGATACTCCATGAAAATTTTCACTGTATCTATGAAAGAATGAATATTCTCCACAGCTCTTGTAATGATTTTTCTTTTTTTGTGTGTGTTTTCATTTTTTTAATTTTAATTTTTATTATTAGTTACATTTTGTTAACTCTGTATCCCAGCTGTATCATGCTCCCTCATTCCCTCCCAATTCCTCCCTCCCTCATCTCCTCCCTGCTCCTTTCCAAGTCCACTGAGGTTCTCCCCTTTCATCTGACCCTGTTTTATCAGGTGTCTTCAGGACTGGCTCCAAAGTTTTCCTCTGTGGCCTAACAGGACTGCTCTTCCCTTGGGGGATGGGGAGGTCAAAGAACCTGCCATTGAGTTCCTGTCAGAAATAGTCCCTGTTCCCCTTACTATGGGAAACCAATTGGTTACTGAGCTACCAAGGTCTTCATCCGAGCAGAGGTTCTAGGTTATATCCATACATGGTCTTTGGTGGAGTGTCATTTTCAGAAAAGACCCCTGTGCCCAGATATATTTGGTCCTTGTGGAGCTCCTATCCTTTCCACGTCATACTAACTCCCCCTTCTTTCATATAATTCCCTGCACTCTGCTGAAGGTTTGGTTATGAGTCTTAATATCTGCTTTGATACACTGCTAGGCAGAGTCTCTCTGCAGTAGGCTCCTGTCCTGTTACTTGTTTTCTCCTATGTCCAATGCACCTCCCATTTGTCTTTCTAAATGAGGATTGATCATCTTACCCCGAGTCCTTCTTCTTCTTTATCTTCTTTAGGTGTATAGATTTCATTATGTTTATCATATCTTATAGGACTATATGAGTGAATATATACCATATGTGTCTTTCTCCTTCTGGGATACCGCACTCAGAATAATCTTTTTTAGATCCTACCATTTGCCTGCAAATTTCATGATTTCCTCGTTTTTGATTGCTGAGTAGTATTCCATTGTGTAAAAATACCACAATTTCTGTATCCATTCCTTTGTTGAGGGACATCTGGGTTGTTTCCAGGTTCTGGCTATTACCAATAAAGCTGCTACAAATATGGTTGAGCAAATGTCCTTGTTGTGTACTTGAGCAAATTTTGGGTATATGCCTAGGAGTGGTATAGCTGGGTCTTGAGGAAGCACTATTCCAAATTGTCTGAGAAAGTGCCAGATTGATTTCCAAAGTGGTTGAACCAGTTTACATTCCCACCAGCAATGGAGGAGGTTTCCCCTTTCTCCACAACCTGTCCTGATGACTAAGGATGTTGAACATTTCTTTAAGTGCTCATTGACCATTAGAGATTCTTCTGTTGATGGAGGATTTGGAGAGCAGCAGGAATAAAGATTAGAAACCCTTATACCTTTGGGGTATATCTCTGGGTTATAGGAGGCTCCCTGGAGTCTATAGGTGTGTGTGACCCTAGCTATTACTTATAGCAACAAGGGATCTGGAGCCTATAGTTGCCACCTCTTATAGCCTGGAAGACTCCCAATGGGAAGGAGGCAGGACACAAATCCATCCATAAAACCTTTGACCCAGATGTGTCTTGCCTACAAGAATTATAGAGATAAACGTGGAACAGAAATTAAGGGAATGGTAAATCTAGGACTGGCCCAACTTGAGACCCACCCCATGGGAGAGAGTAAACTCCTGACAGGATCAATTGCATTTTGCTATGCTTGTAGACAGGAGTCTAGCATAATTGTTTTCTGAGAGAATTCATCCAGCTGCTAATGGAAACAGATGCAGTGATTCACAGCCAAACAGGCCAAGCCTAGCGGGTTTTCTGGAAGAATGGGAGGAAGGATTGAGGGACCCAGAGTGGTGAAGGTCATCACAATAAGACCTACTGAATAAAGTAACCTGGGCCCACTGGGGCTCACAGAGACTGAAGCACCAAACAAAGATGTGTGGGCTGGTCCTAAGCACCCGGCACACATGCAGCACATGTGCAGCTTGTTCTTTATATGGGTCCCCTAACAATTGGAGTGGGCGCAATCTCTGACTCTGCTGCCTTGCCTGGCCTCACTGGAAAATGTGCTTATGAGTGTCGCAACTTGATGTGTCAGGATGAGATGGTACCCCTGGTGGTCTCGCTTTCACTGAGATAAAGGGGGAAGGAGGAGGTAAAGGGTGAGAGGTATAAGTATGGGACTGGGAGAAGAAAAAAGAGGGGATGGTAATCCGGCTCAAAAGTGATTAAGTAGGTTCCAGGGTTGTTTCCTATTTTCTTTTTCTTCTGATGTCCATCCTCTTTGCCTTTCAGGATGGGGATTGAACATTTTAGCTAGGGTC